TTCCCAGTTCAATTTTCTTTTTTCTTCTTGTTTCTTGTTTCTACACTTTGAGGCCTCTCCAAAAAGTTCTTTTGACATCGAGTTGTGGAGCAGGCAGGAGAGAGATAAGGAGTTTTGTATATAGGAGGAAGGGTATAAGGGATTGCTCCCTGTTGTCCTTCGTGTTATAGTCTTTCCGACTTAGGGGAATTTTAAGGAAAACCCATAGCTTCACCCCTTATGAACAATAGGGAGTTGTAAGCCTTAAAGCCCTATTGAGAGGAATCTTCCACTGCAGTCCAGTATTGTTGTGCATGGCTTGTATACCCATCAGGGGTTAAAATCCTTGTTTCAGCTGCACCAGGCTAACGATGAAGTCTTGTCTTAAACGCAGCGCTCCCCCAAACTATAAAGCAGGGACCGCTAGAAGAGAGGTCCGTTCTCTTCTCAGGGGAGTAAGCAACTAGCATGTTGGAATATATGAAAGACGTATTCGATGGTTTAGTATTTCTATCTCATCTTATTTAGTTTCCAGTTCCAATAAAGTTTTCTTTATTTCTCAATCTGCAAAGGTGTGTCAATCAAATCTGAAAACTTTTTCATTTCTTAAGAGATATCTGATCTGGAAAGAATTTTATGAGGTCGGAAAATAACATTATTTAATATTAGGATTGAAGAGAAGAGATTAGGATTGGAGAGAATAGGTTTCAGTGTGCTAGGATAGATCGGGATTGGAGAGAATAGGTTTTGTTGTGCTTGGATAGGTCGAGAGTAGAGAGAATAGGTTTTGGTGTTCTAGGATAGGTTGGGATTGGAGAAAATAGGATGGGTTGGGTATGAATAGAATTGATTTGTTAGGATTTGTTTGGATTAGAAAGAATAGGTTTTAGTGTGTTAGAATAGGTTGGGAATTGAGAGAATAGGTTTTGATGTGTTAAGATTCGTTGAGTTAGGAGAGGATAGGGTTTGATGACATAGGATGTTTGGAGTGAATTGGGTAGGTCAGTGTAAGTGTAGTTTAGTGGAGTTGATAATATTGATATTGGAACTAGGAGTGCATGGTTACAATTTATGATATGAACCATGTGACTTCTGAAAAAAGATGAACATTTGTAAAAAAAAAACTGGACGAAAAAAGTTCAAAAGTACGGGTGGATTGTCAGAGTCAGGATGAGACGGATGAAAACGTGTTCTGAATGTAAAAACTAAAATTAATGAATATGCAGTGGAAATTCTGTGGATTAAATAAACACGATAAAATTCCAGCAAAGTAATAAGGGCTGTAAAGGAATAAGGGCTATTAAGTAATAAGGGCTGTAAAGGAATAAGGGCTGTAAAGAAATCAGGGCTATTAAGAAATAAGGGCTGTAAAGAAATAAGGGCTGTAAAGAAATAAGGGCTGTAAAGAAATAAGGGCTGTAAAGGAATAAGGGCTGTAAAGGAATAAGGGCTGTAACGAAATAAGGGTTGTAAAGAAATAAGCGCTGTAAAGGAATAAGGGCTGTAACGAAATAAGGGTTGTAAAGAAATAAGGGCTGTAAAGGAATAAGGGCTGTAAAGAAATAAGGGCTGTGAAGGAATAAGGGCTGTAAAGGAATAAGGGCTGTAAAGGAATAAGGGCTGTAAAGGAATAAGTGCTGTAAAGGAATTAGGGCTGCAAAGGAATAAGGGCTGTAAAGGAATAAGGGCTCTAAAGAAGTAAGGACTGTAAAGAAATAAGGGCTGTAAAGGAATAAGGACTGTAAAGTAATAAGGACTGTAAAGGAATAAGGGCTGTACAGTAATAAGGACTGTAAAGGAATAAGGGCTGTAAAGTAATAAGGACTGTAAAGGAATAAGGGCTGTAAAGAATTAAGGTCTGTAAAAGAATAAGGGCTGTAAAGGAATAAAGGCTGTAAAGAAATAAGGACTGTAAAGGAAAAAGGGCTGTAAAGAAATAAGGACTGTAAAGAATATTTGGATCGTATAAAAAAAACTGACTAACAAACTAACTGAGTTCTAGCCACTTCCTCAGGGTTTATTATTCCATTTATCTTTTCAACCCTATTAAGTGACTAAGTCGACCTTTGATATTTATAACTATAAATTCAAATAGTCCTAATTTAAACAGTTCTACGATAAAAGGTTTCAAAGATATATGATTTATAAAATTTAAGTTGGTGTATCTAACTGATTTCTATAAACCCTGTAAATGAATAAAAAATTTTGTGTAAATCAAGGAATTTTTTGTATTTAGGTTAATTTCCCAAAGTACAATATAATTGAATAAGACGTCTATAATTAGTACAAAGAGTATAAGAGGGGTGGGGGTAGGCACTGAGCTCTGTTAAGAAGAAATGTAAGAGAATAGGAGGGGGGGGGGTGAGTAGGTATATTTTATATTGTTCTAAAAATATTTGAACGAATGGCAGATTCTATGAGAAGAAGGAGTAAAGAACTGATTCTTATTTACAAAGAGAAATGATTTTGTATTCACAGAAGAATAGGTTTAATGTAAAAGAAAAGTTTTTTCATATTCATATAGCGCAGACAGTCAACAAAATTGTTCATCTATTTCAAAACCGGGTCGACTTTGAAGCGTCGCAACGTGCACAATTTGGATCCCTGCGCTAATATAGAAAAAAATTGCGTATAAATTAAAGGAGTATTTTCTGTTTTCTAGATACAAAAGGAATAGATTACTTTATTTCTAAATACATTGTACCAGCAGTATTTTCTAAAAGTAGAAGGAGGGGAGACGTGTCTAAAAAATAGACTAGCTATGGCCCCTCTTCCTTTTCCTTCTTCCAATTTCCCAATTTTTCTTGGTACAGTAAAAAATAATAATTTTAGATTTCGCAGATTTTTCGGATTTAATTTTGGATTTCAAACTTTTTTTTTAGAATTTGACCGGCCATAACCTTTCCTGGCTCGGTTAATGTCAAGTCCTTAAAATATTTAGGCCCGTTTTGAACTTTATTAGATAAACTCTCAGACAGAAAGGATGGAAAAGATGGAAAGAATAGAAAGAATAGAAAGGATTAAAAGAATAGAAAGCTGGAAAGAATAGAAAGGATGGAAAGAATAGAAAAGATGGAAAGAATAGAAAGGATGGAAAGAATAGAAAGCTGGAAAGAATAGAAAGGATGGAAAGAATAGAAAGAATGTAAAGAATAGAAAAGATGGAAAGAATAGAAAGGATGGAAAGAATAGAAAAGATGGAAAGAATAGAAAGGATGGAAAGAATAGAAAATGTAATAGAAACACAATTATAATAGTCACGTGATAAACCAGATGCTTCTCAGATATAAAACTGCTTACTCCAGGATATACCCTGAGAATAGAGTTCCGTATGGATAGAAAATATTATTAATATTATTTATAGATTCATTCAACTTATAATTGTTACAACAGGAAAAGTAAAGGATGAAGGATGAAAAATAAAGGATGAATGTAAAAAGAGTAAAGATGACAGACATAGGACGAAGGAAGAAGAACAAAGAACAAAGAACAAAGGATAAAGGACAAAGGACAAAGGAAAAAGGATAAAGGATGAAAGCCGAAGAACGAAGTAAAAAGAAGAAATAAGACAACGTTAAATAAGGAAGGGTGAAGAATATAGTATATCAAATTGAGGATGACGGATTAAAAAGATGGTGTATTTTTCGACCTACGCAAATCCGCTATACTGAACTTCTGACCTACTAATTTTCCGACCTACTGCAATATTGGACCTAAGCTAGCTGTTTATTTTTGTTTTATTTGAGGGTTAGGTTAGATTAAGACAATTTCTGGGCTAAGCGCTGCGGCTAGGATAGGCTAGGAGGCCGAGCACCGCGGCTAGGACAGGCTATGAGGCCGGCCGCTGCGGCCACAAGTCCAGTAAAACCACGTGCTAGTAGGTCGGATGTGTAGTATAGCGGATTTGACGTAGGTCAGAAGTGGAGTATAGCAGATTTGCGTAGGTAGAAAAATACACCATCGATTAAAAATCAAGTATAAAAGATACAAAATGGAGGATTAAGGCTGAAGGACGAAGGATAAAGGACGAAGACAAAGAATGGTGGACGAAGTATGAAGGATGAAGGATATACCGCAAATGATAAATGATGAAGAATGAAGGATAAAGTACATATGATAAATGATGAAGGATAAAAAACAAATGGTAAATGATGAAGGATAAAGAACAAAGTAAAAATAATAAATGATGAAGGATTAAGGATTAAATTAAAAATAGAAAATGATAAAGGATGAAGGAAAAAGTACATATGATAAACGATGAATGACGAAGGATAAAGTACAAACAGTTGATGGTGAAAGATAAAGTACAAGTGATAAATGTTAAAAGAGATGAGGATAAAGAATATAAGATTGAGGATGAAGGATGAAAGTGAAGAATAAAGAATTAAAATGTGGGATGAAGGATAAATTCAAAGATTAATGATAAAGGATGAAGGATAAAGTACAAATGATAAATAATAAAGGATTATGATAGATGATAAAGGATGAAGGATAAAGTACAAATGATAAATAATAAAGGATGATGAAAGATGATGAAGGATGAGGATAAAGTATATAAAATAAAGGATAAAGGAAAAAATAAGAGCTGGTGCAGGGTTGAGGTTGTGGGCAAGGTTTAGAAAAGAATGATGAATGTGTTGAAGAACAATACCATCAATCAGTCATTCATTATTCAATTTTCAGTTTTCAACTTTCAACAAAATATTAAAATAATTTTTGCAAGTTTCGAAGGGAAACCGGAATAATGGTGTGCAATAATGGGATCAATTTTGAAAATTAATTTCGTTAAATCTGGAATTTTTTATGATGAGACTGCAGAAAAATAAAATGATTGGGTAGTGTTGTGGACAGTTCAAATTCTGCTTTGGAAACTTTTATCTGAAATTTAATCCGTTCCCTTCATATTCACATTAGGTTTAAATAAAGGATAAATTCATTTTTAATCTATCATCGATATTCAAAATCCAAAATATCAAATATCAGGATAGATTAATTTCATTTTAAAATTTTGTTTCAGAGTAATGAAGGGGTAGTGGTTACCAGGAGAAGTTTTCGTGAAATGACAAACGTAGGAACGGAATTCAATTACTCCAACCAAACTAGTTTTGAAGCAGTAAGCATGAGCTTCAAAAGTTCTGAGCCTGGGTTCCCAGTGAGGTCTGGATATAGACAAGTAAATAGTTTTGATGCAGATCTTCTCTATGATATGGAGATGTCTAACTCCACCCTAAGAACTGCTGTGAAACCTGATAACTCGGATACATGCATGTTTACAGACGAGGTTCTAGAAGTGTCCCGTGAGCCTGATTATCTAGAGATGAAAGAACTAGAATCTAAAAATACAATTCTAGAAACCAGAGATCAAGGAACTATGACAGGTCGTGTCAGCAAAAAATCCAAGAAATCTAAAACTAAAACTGATCAGGGTTCAAGGAAACATAGTAGAGAAAGAACGTCTAAATATCTTTCTCCGGGAACAAGTTTAGTAGAGAGACAAGGCGAAGAGAACTTGATCACCCTGGAGGTTGAAACAGAGTTCATCGTGGAGTCCCTGGAGCTACAAGAACAAGAACAACTAAGAATTGAAGAAGCAGAAAAAGAAAAAAGAATCGGTGATTTTTTCAGGTTTTACTTTTCTCTTTACACACTAACGATATTTCTAATCTCTCTCTGAAAGAAATAAAAATATTTGATTTTCAGATCTTTCCGAAAGAAAAATCAGTTTCCGGAGAAGAATGTGATCCTTGATGTTGGAGGAGACAGGTTCGTGGTTAAAAAGAAGCACCTGGAGCAGTATCCATCTACTAGACTTGGCAAGATTATGAGAGCAGAGAACCTCAGAGATATTCTCATGTACTGTGAAGAGTTTATTCCAGGTAATTCAAAATTATGAAAAACATACTTTGGATCAATATTCAGGAAATTTAAATTTAAAGATTAACACTTTCTCCAGGTGTGTGAAAGTTTATCAAAATTTTGTAAACTTTTTGTAAATTTATAATTTTGAATTAGGAGAACCACCAGAATATTTCTTTGATAGAAATCCGAACAATTTCCCCGCAATACTGGATATGTACAGGAAGAATACAAGCTACAGATTTATTCATGTACATAGTACAATAGCAACCTTTTTACATTTTCTTGTCTGTCTGTTTTTATTCTAAAAAATCGTCGAAGTCTTCAAAATCTTCAAACAGTTGAAACCGAAAAGAATATATTTGCCATGGTAATTGACCCTGGTGGGCCACGTGTGGATGAAATGAGAACTTTAAAAATGTGTTTTTCTTGAAAAATTCACAAAAACAGCCTTTACGTTTTGTTGTTGATTTCATTATTTGCAGAATTTAAATTAAATTAAATTATATTAGAAAGTAGAAGATTAAATGATTATTATAAAGTTTTAAAACCACAAAATATTTATTCTTAGTATCTTTTTTTGTGACAGACCATATTGTACAGAACTAAATTTGACATGTATTGTCGTACTATTTAATCTACAGAGTGTCCCAACCTACATGGAAACTGAGGGACGACATTGGAATTGTCTATGATTTTTTAAAATAAATTATGACCAAAGAATGCTAAAAATATGATTATACTTTTCTAAATGTGGTAGTGGTCTATATTTCTTTTATCTTTAAGAACATAGATTTTTTTTCGATAATTCTAGATATTTTGAATAAAATGAAGCTGGGACAAAAATCTCAGGTTTAAAAAAGTCAGACCACATTGTTAATGCTAAATTCATGTATATTGTAACACCCTGTAGTTAATTTAATGTCATGAGACTTGATATTTCTCGACATCAAGGGAGGAAATTTCTTACTTTAAAATACGGATCCAATATTCAAAAGAATAGATCAGGAAACTTTTCTTTAAATATTTTATATTCTGTTCAATTTAGCATTTTATAAAAAATTCAGTTGTTGCACTTTAAAAATCAAAATATTTCTCCAGCTGTCTTTAATCATTTAATCAACATTACTCAGATTACAGGTTTTTACGTGATTATTTATTATTGTGTATAGAACATTTTTTTACATTTAAACAACTTAAAGTTTCATGTTAGAAGTAATCGAGACTTAACCAGCATGATTTCCAGTAAAATATTCCTTTACTGGTCGGCAGCAATACAGGGAATGATTTTATAGAGAAAAAGAAAAAGATTAATACATACGATTATACAATTACATCATACTTGGTAATATTAATCTGTGTACATTGTACAGTATAGTATGTACAATGTAAGTGGAGTATGCACATTGTATAGTGTAGTATGTACATTGTATAATGTACAGAGGAAAGTGTATATTATGCACATTATACTGATGTAGTTTGAACACTGTACACTGTACAGTGTAGTAAGCATATTGTAAACTGTACAATGGAGTATGTATATTATAGTATGCACAGTATACAATTTACAGTGAAGTAAGTGCAGTCAGGTGTCTACGGATGACCAACTTTTAAAAATAGATTTGCGCGGTAGCTTTTCCCATTTTAATGTGTACTGTGAGAACTAATCTAAATATTTAACTCAATATCTCTAAATCTCTAGAATATAATCGCTGCTAAAGCTTGAAAAGACTAACACAGCTCCAAAATATTTTTCTTCTGAATTTATCATGTCACATATTTTTTTCTTTGTAATTGTCCAGAAAGATGAAATCCGTTAAAATGTTTTAAATTGACTGAGTTAAATCCAGAATACTAAAAATGAGTATTTTGAACGGTTTTGTTGGACCTAGCTCATTTATTTTTAATATTTTTTTCTTCAAAAATTTCAACGAATTAGAGTTCTCTAATTGAAAACGAAGAAATTTATATGTAACATAATAATTTCATATTTTTTTATTTCCTAGAATTTAAGATGTGTCCATAGATAAAGATAGATTGCGCATAAGACGACATTTTTCATCTTGAAAGATATGAATGTACAGAGATGTTTTAAAGATATTCCTATTATATAGATTAACTAGGTCGGTTGTGAACATTGGCTGTTATGTAATTGAGTACTTGTGGTGTACATGAGTTCTGTTGAGAGAAATTTAAGTTTGTTTAGTCCTTCTCATGTCCTTTTTCAGTTCTTGTCAATATATATTGCTCAGTGAAATATTGTTGTTCAAATAATTTCATTCCCGGAGTTATTTTACACTCTATTATGAAATCCATTAAAACACCAAACCACCCCGCTTATCATTGAAGTACACTTTGACCCCTAGAAGTATGAGTTCGCCGACTGTACAATTCTTGGTGATTTTGCGTACATAAGCTATCTATGTTTATTTATTTATCTATGGATGTGTCGACCAAAAATTTTCAGGAATAACCCACAGTATGTATTGCAATGGGAAAAGTTACCGCGCTAATCGCGCGCGCCATTTTTAAAATTAGTAATAATTTGTGAACACCTCAACGTGCAGTGTACGGTGTATAGTATATACATTGTACACGGAAGTATGTACATGGTTACAGTTTAGTCTAGTTGGTACAGTTTGCAGATTCCAGAATCATTATAATTGGTGAATATAGTTTTTATAAAAAATATTCTGTCATTCATGCCGGGAAATGACTCTTTACTGGGTCTCTTGTTCAGTAGACTTTTAAAATCATCTTGATTGATTTGACAAACAATTTCAAGATAAAATACGACCTTTAAGTGGTCTTTTTTACTGTCATGTATATTTCATGAAAATAGAAATAGAAAATAACTTTTTGTTTTGACTGTGTGGTGTACACAACAACTAAACTTTAGAACATTTTTGAGAAAATAAAAAGTTTTGTTTTTTGTTTCTCCGTCCTGCTAAATATTAAGAAGTTAGGTTTACCTCTACTTTCTACACTCTTCATCTAAATATATTATTACAAGGCTTCCATAGCTCATCGTTCCCTTGATACTTCCCCTCTTCTTGATTTGGAAATCTTAACTTAACCTTATTTTCAATCAATGTAAGATTTTGCGGATTTCACAGATTTTCCCATAAAAGAAAATCGAGATAAGTTTTATTTTTTGGTCGGCCATAAACCCCCATCTGATGTCATACAACAAAATTTAGGCCCGATCGGTTCAGCCGTTTGGACGTTAATCGGTCAAGCCAAATATATATACATATACATAAAGAGACCTTAAGGGGTCGTAAAAAGAATAAAATATCTGAAAATATTACTTTTTTCAAGAATAAAAAATACAAAAAATATTCTTTTCTAATCTGTTTGTCTCCTTAATAAATGTCCGTCAGAATAAATCCATAATTTCCATATTTCTTGATCAATAACAAGCATGCATTCAGTCCTTCTCCAGGTCGGGAACATTTCATACAGTTGAGGTAGGTTGTGCCCTAGTTCTCCAGAGGGACCTGGAGTACTGGAGTATAGATGAGCTAATGATGGAACCCTGCTGTGCGCTCAAGTACTATCCTCAGATAGACGTCTGTCAGAGTGAGAAGGACGGAGATATTGCAACAAAGAAGAAAGAAATGGAGTTGGCTGAGGAGGAGGATTTTGGTAATACTTGGTGGGGAAATACAAGATCATGGCTGTGGAACACATTGGAGTATCCTTGGACCAGTAAACTAGCCCAGATCGTTGCTTTCTTCTCCTTGTCCATGGTTCTAGTGTCAACCGTCACCTTCGTGGTGTCCACTATAGAGGAGCTCCAGGAGAATGATCAAGGACAGGTTGAGTATCCTCTAGTTCAAGCCATCATTGGTTATACAGATAATTTTGTTGTGATATTCTTCACCTTGGAATATTTTCTCCGGCTTGTGGTTTCTCCGAGGAAATGTAAATTTATCAAAGGAGCGATGAATCTGATTGATCTATTGGCCATTGTGCCTTTCTACCTTTCCCTGCTTCTTGAGGGTTTAGAGGATTTTGAAATTATTGGCAAAGCTGGGAAAATTGTTCGGCTCATTCGTGTCATGAGAATATTGCGGATTTTCAAGCTTGTCCGACATTTTGCTGGTCTACAGTCTCTACTCTATACCCTACAACAAGCATACAAGGAACTAGGACTCCTCCTGGTCCTAGTAGCTGTAGCAATCCTAACCTACTCCAGTCTTGTGTACTTTGCGGAGAAGGAAACTCCAGAGGATAGAAACTGTTCCCAGACAGGTATTGAGGTTATGGGTCGGAGCTGGAGAGAAATAGCTCAGGATCCCTGCTACTCCTGGACCTTCGTAGAATCCTTCTGGTGGGGGCTCATGACCCTAACCACTGTAGGATATGATCTTAATCCTAAAACTATTCTTGGAAAACTGGTCGGAGGTTTCTGTGCTCTCTCAGGGATCTTTATTCTCACCCTTCCTATTCCTATTGTGGTAAACAGCTTCGCCAGCTACTATAAGAACAGGTAAGATATTCATGATATGCATTAAAGGGACTGTAAGCCTAATTTCAAGTGATACACTCCATGCAAAGATGGCAATGCCTGATTCAAAACGGTTCAATAATGCGGAATATAGATATTTGTTTTTTTTCTAGACAAAAGTGTTTAATTCTGATAATTGTAAGATGTTTTCCATGCAGTAAAAATACGCAAGTTACTTCTGTACAGAAACCTACAGTAAAAAATCCAATAGTTTTCAGAAACATAAACATTAATATCTAATTCATCCTTGATCAGACAAAGCGTTTAAGGGTATCGTTGTGAATCGGGCATTGCAATCTTTGCTATTACGCAATTACGCTAGCAGTCCCTTTAATTTCACAGATTTAGAGGAACACCACCTACATTTTATCTTAACGTACCAGAGCTATAGTCAGGGGGGTATGATGACTAAGCCCCCCCTGAACCCGTGAAAACTATGAATTTCAGGGCGTTTTCAGACCTCACCCTGGAAAGACAAAAAATGTAAGCCCTCCCCCTGGAAAAATTCCTGACTACGCCCCTGTAAAGTACACAACTTAAAAAGAATCCAATAGATCTGGATAAATATAAAAATCATCTGATTAGATCTGTGTATATCTAAAAATAATCAGGATAGATCTAAAAATGCCGAAGAAATATAACAAGATAGGACTAGATAGGTTTTGGGGAAAACATTTGGTATCTTAAACTTATGACTTCATTTACCCCCCTTTACGGTTCAACTGCAGGAATGAACAATTTTTTTACAGATATTATGACTTAAACCTTAATTTAAAGGTTTGCATAGTCCGCCGTTCAAAAGCTTCCTTTTTCGTAAGTATTTCTTATTTAAAAAGGCAGTATTTCTTCCTTGTGGGATGATCTATTTCTCTGAAAGCAAGGTTATAATGTAAGGAAAGTTATTATAAAAGGTGCACGCATCTTTTGTACTGCTGCAGTGTACTGTCTCTGGGCGGTAATGTAAACACAAGACGGATGTCGAAGACTGACATGGGATCCATCTTTCACATAAAAAATCAATGAAATATTCTGGTCATAGGAAACTATCATGTAAATTATCAAAATTATCAAAAATTAAATGCTTTTAACCTCCTCGGATACCAAACGAACATTGATGCCAATTCTTGTTTACAAATTAACTTTCCTTGCATTTTAACCTTGTCTGTAAGGAAGTTTACATGCGGTACACGATATACTGCACGAAGTATGGTGGTTGAAATTTTTATATAAGAAAGTAAAAGTTCAGTTCTAAGGCACATGGGGACATTTGACAGTACACAAGGAAGAATGCTTTTGGAGGTCGGAAATACAGTGTGATTTAGCACCGACGCTCTAACCTTCGTTAATATTAAATGCAATAATAGAAAAAGAAATCTTTGTATATTTCTATTTTGAATTATTTATCATTTACTTTTTCAAGTTCTCTTCTGGTAAAATATTCTATTTTTGTATTGTTTAATATTTAATAAAGTCAGGCAATCCTAGCTGGCAACATGTTAAGGGGGCTCTTTTTCATATGAATATGTAGCAAACAAAAACTGTGATTTCTTTCAAAGTCTTTAACTTTAAAAAAAAACTTCAAAGTCGACAAATTCAAGATATTGGCTCAAACAGCTTTAAAACATCTTTGTTTTTTTTGCAGCCCTTGACATGTACATCTTGGAAACATAAAGCACTTGTTTTTAGCTTTATTTTTTAATTAGTAATTGACAAAATTTCTAAAAAATATTTGCTTGAGAGCTTGCAACCTTTAAACCGCTAATCTAAACTTCTAAACCTTGTAACCTGACGCCATAGTTTGATATATGTAAGATTTACACCATCAGGTGCAAAGATATGAGGGTTAGAATAATAGAGTTTGTGACGAATAAAATTCTACTCTATTAATTATTAACTAATAAGTCACCAGTCTAATCTTCCAATCCTTCTATCTTTGCAACCAAACACGCCGTAGACCATAGAATGATATATGAAAGGTTTACACCATTAGTTTACAAAAATATGAGGGTTAGACAATTAGAGTTAGTGACGAATAGGCATTGGGACTTGTAAATAAAATTCTACTTTACGAGTTAGAAAAGTATCAGTCGCCTCTGCTCTTCTTATCCTTCTATCTTTGTGACCGGACGTCTTAGACCATAGAATGACATATAAAAGATTTACAACATCAGGTTGCAAAGATATTATGATCAGAATATTAAAGTTTGTGACGAATAATCAGCTTCAATTAGAACTCTGTTCTGCAGGTTGTGGAGGAACGAGGTTGATCACAAGAAGAGAGAACGAACCCGACAACAAGCTGCAGAGCTTAAACAAGTTCAGAAACTACTACTGCTCAAGGTTAGATTCTTTGCTTTAAGTTTTATAAAACTTTGTCTTCTTAAAGGGAGTGTTCGCGAAAAATGAAGGGGGGTTGATACTTATTTGGTAGCAATATTTAAAAAATAGATTAATGGATGGCCTGAATTCATAATTTTAAATATCTTAGGTCTAGGACACTGGATTTCAAGGATATAGGGATTAGAAAATCCGAGTTTGTAGTAAAGACTCAATTCCTTACATGAGACCAATTCCTAATTTATCCAAGTAGACAGTTCCATCAATTATTTATTTTTGTTGGGTTAATTCAGTTAAAACACAATGAGTTTCAATATAATTAGGCGAAATGTTAAGCCTTTTCTTAGATTAACATTTTTCATAACAAATAGTTTTCAAGATATATCTTCTGCTTTGTTTTAAATCCAAAAAACTTTTTATCATATTTTCCTTCAAAAAAGAATAGAATATATGGTTAATGAGTATACTTATTCAAATATGCTAACTTTTGATTTATAAATACTCGATATCGTATTGGATTTTTCGATCCGCCGGGAAATTTATTTTTATCAATAAATAACTATATTGAAAAATCAGGTAATATTGAAATTGCTACCTGCAATTAAATGCTATACAAAATATGTATTAACCTGTCCACTAGAATTTTTCGTAAACACTACATTTTAATTTAAACCATTTAATTACTAAGACTTGAAAACAAACTATATATACTTTGCTTGTCTGCTTTACTGATTGTTTGTTTGTATCCAATAAACGTCAAAACGGTTGAACTGATCGGGCCCAAATTTTTTAAGGGACCTCACATGACCCCAGGGAAGGTTATGGATAGTAAAAATTTCAAAAGTTTGCCTCCAACAAAATTTTCCATTTTTATCAAATTTAAAAAATCCACGAAAAAGTATTTTACAATCCGCGAACTTTTTTGTTATTGTTTTATAATGTATACAAAGAGACAATGTTCACAATTGAAATAGAAAATGGGTGTGAATAGCCCTGAAAGCCTAGTTCTTTAGAGGAGTCTAACCTAGATTTCATGTTCATACAAATCTATTTAAGTTTGATCCAATCCATATAGATTTTCCTTAGACATGAAATGTCANCCCCCCCTTCTCTGCAATGAATTTTTTAAAGAGTTTTAACAACAAACTAAAATTTTCTAATCCCTATATCTTTGCAGCCTATTTCAAACTTAAACTATTTTCTCTTTAAGAGTTTAAAGCTTGACATATCAAAGGTCTACAAAATTGGATTGCAAAGATTTGGGATTTAAAACTCGCAAAAGCTTTATTCTTTTTTTGGGAAAAGTCTGAGTGTGTGACATGCAGCAGAGGTGTGATTTAAATATGTTTTTTTGCAATATTAGTTTATTTATGTAGGCAATGGCTGCTCCTGGTATAAATATTGAAGCTTTGAGATGTATCCCTCCAACCACATATCCGTCTCCATATCCATCTCCTGGACCATCTCCATACAATCAGTCCAAGCTGAGCAACAACAAGGGATAGTAGTTCTCCTTCTCCTCTTCTCTCTCTCCGTCCCAAACCTATTAGTGTGAATTCACAATGCTTCTCAACCTTTTCTCTAGATTGCAGTTCCTGCTTTTATAAGTGAAATTAAAGTGTTAAACTTTAACTTAAAGTGTTAAAAATTATTTTTTTTTTAATTTTTGGCTTTTCTAGCTGAAGAGAGATTGCTAACATAATTCCAAGTTAAACTTTAATTAAAGAATTCAATCAAAATAAAATTTGATATATCAATAATTTTCTATCTTAAAGGAATTAAACTTTCTAATCGCTATTATTTTGCAATCTAATGGTGTTCACATGTAAAGCTGTTCAAAGGTTTACAACATTGAGTCGCATAGCTCAAATATATGGATTAGAAAAGTAGAGTTAGTGGTAAAACTCAATTCTTTTAATAACTTGATGATGAAGTGCAGACACGCGAATTTCTACAGCTTCCTGTTTCAGATAGCAAAACATTTGCGCCATCGTTCATCATGAAAAAGTTGAAAGGGGTTGTTCCTCTTTTTTATTAAAGGGGCTGTTCCCCGTTTTAATCAAAGAGGTTATTCATTTTTAGTTGAAGGGATTATCCCTTTTTTTAAATTAAAGATTTACTCAGAATCACGTTGACAATCTTCTCTTTTACAAAAATATTGCATTTGCATTAAGCTCCAGTTTCAGTTTGAAATTTCAGTAATTTGACTAGATTTGTTCTAAATGTTGCATTAAATATCTTTAATCAAGATTATTTCTCTAATGTGTACACTGTATATATATATATATATAAATATATAGTTTCAGTTAATTCATCTTTCATACGAGTGAGGAGAGATATAGATAAATTATAGAGTCCTTTCTATTCTTTCCATCCTTTCTATTCTTTCCATTCTTTATAATCTTTCCATCCTTTCTATTCTTTCCATTCTTTCAATTCTTTCCATCCTTTCTATTCTTTCCATTCTTTCTATTCTTTCTATCCTTTCCATTCTTTCCATTCTTTATAATCTTTCCATCCTTTCTATTCTTTCCATTCTTTCCATCCTTTCTAGTCTTTCCATCCTTTCTATTCTTTCCATCCTTTCTTTTCTTTTCATGCTTTTAATCTTTTGTATTCCTTTCATCCTTTCGATTGTTTTAATCTTTTTATTTTATCCTTTGAATACTTTCTATCCTTTTCCTTCTTATTATTCTATCT